CCCTGAGGAGGAGGAGGAGGACATAAGAGAGAATCATAACAGAGATGGCAGGATGGTTGAGTTTGGACGAAGATACATTACAACAAACAACTGATAAAATATTTAGAGTCAAATCAAGTTATGCCATGAAAAAGAAATCACCAGGAGATTGCCTAGTGATCTTCAATTCGAGAATGGTAAAATATAGAATCTTACAGATGAATTATGAAAAAAGGCTCATAATTGGTGGGGGAAATATCATAATCCTTAAGGAAATCACGTTGAGATTGTTGAAAAAGAGATCCAATTATAAAACCTTAACTGATGTTCTGAAGACTAACAAGATTGCATATAGATGGGAGTTCCCTGAAGGTGTCTCTTTCACCTACAAAGGCAAGAAACAAAGATGTAGAAGCATAGAAAAGTTTTGGAGGAAATATAAGAAAGAACTGGGGAAGAAAAAGCCTGATGCAATAAGGGGACAAGGAGAAGGAGAAACAGCCTCAACTGGAAAGGATGAAGATTCGCAGGAAGAGGACAAACAACAAGATACAATTGACTATAAAATATTCAAATAAATATTTAAATAAAAAAATGAATTTTTTTAAAACTTGGAAAGTAAATGGACTAAATAAAACAAAAAGGAACAGATTAAGCATATATTACAAAAAGAAAATGTACATATCATTTGTCTGCAAGAAACACATGTAACAAGAAAACATAGAAGAGTATTGATAAATAAAAAATTAGGAAAGGACTTTATCACATCAGACAAGATAAAAAAACGAGGGGTGGTTATTTATGTAAAAGACAAATACGACCCTAAACAGCTATTTAAAGATGAGGAGGGAAGAGTGATGGCTATATAGATAACATTACAAGGCGAGAAAATAGTCATAATTGGAATCTATGCACCCAATGAAAACCCCCGGAATTTTATAAAGAATTGGAAGAGAAATTGTTTGATTTAATGGACCAAAAAATAATTTAAATGGGGGATTTGAATGGGGTAGTCTCACTAGAAATGGACAGGACAATAAGAAAAACAGACTGAAGAGAAGGTAGACTACCCCTGACATACTTTAATTTGGTGGATAATTTAAAATTGAATTATGCATGGAGAGCTAAACACCTATTTGAAAAAGAATATACCCATTATTCAGAGTCAAACCAATCTGCCGGGAGAACTGACTCGACATGGATATCAAATGAGTTGACACTGAGAATAAAAAGAATGGAAATACAACCAAAGACTTTATCGGAACACAATCCAGTAGTATTAGAATTAAAAGGAGAAGAAAACTCCACATTTGGGTGGAGATTAAATGAAAGTCTTTTAGACAATCAAGTGACTATCCAAAAAGTGGAAAAAACGAGAGGTCTCTTTATTCAGCAAAGTGAGTGCCAAAGAAGAATTAGAGAAAGTAAGAAAAATGAAATTATTGACAAATTGATTAAAAATGAAAAAGAATTAATTAAAAAGCCAGGGAAACAGTAAAACAGAATATAAAAATGTTACAAGCACAATTTTCAATGTTAGTAAACCAAGAAATTGAATGGAAAATTAAATGGTTGGGACAGAGGAATTTTGAATTTGCAAATAAACCTGGGAAATTACTTGCTTGGGAATTAAAAAAGAAACAAGAACAAAATTTAATTAACAGATTGGAGCTGGAAGGTAGAATAATAGACCATCCAAAAGATATTAGAAAACAATTTGTAAAATATTATACAGAATTATATAGAGCCGGTAAAGAAAATAAAGAGGCAATTGAAGACTATTTAGTAAAAAGTAAGTTACCTAAAATTCTGGCAGAGAAGATCAATTATTTAAATGCACCACTAACAATTCCAGAAATACAACAAGGAATTACAACATTCAAAAGTAGCAAAATCACCAGGACCAGATGGCTTGTCAGGCAAATATTATTTAAAAATTGCAAGACTTTCTGATATAACCGCTGAGGGAAGTTATGAATAAGATACTGATAACAGGGAAAATCCCTGAGTCATGGAAAGAAGCATACATAACACTACTGCCAAAACAAGATACAGATATATTATTGGTGAAAAATTATAGGCCACTATCTCTGCTCAATAATGAATATGAGCCATTTGCCAATATTATTGCAAATCATTTGAAAAGGGTGCTCAAAGAGTTAATTCATCATGACCAAGCCGGCTTTCTTCCTGGCTGACAGATGAAGGAAAATACAAGGAACATAATTGATATAATAAGAGTATCTGGAGGTGAGGAACGAAAAGCATGCAGCATTGATGTTTGTGGATGCAGAGAAGGCCTTTGACAGTGTATCTTGGAATTTTATGGAAAAAGTGATTAAAATGATGAATTTTGGAGAAATACTTCAGAGAGGAATTGACGCTATTTATACAGAACAGCAGGCAAGGTTATTAGTGAACAATGTAGTATCAGAAACATGTAAAATTACAAAAGGGACGAGACAAGGCTGTCCCTTATCACCATTATTGTTTATTCTAGTGTTAGAGGTACTACCGAGGAATATAAGATCTGAAAAAGAAATCGAAGGTATAACAGTGGGGTGTAAAGAGTACAAATTAAGAGCATTTGCAGATGACCTTGTAATAACAGTAGAAAACCCATTGGTGAGCATACCAAGGGTTTTGGATAAAATACACGAGTTTGGGTGGGTCACAGGATTTAAGTTAAATAAAAGTAAAATGAAAGTTTTGGTCAAAAATATGACAGAAAAAAGTAAAAATGAATTACAACTAACAACATAATTAACATTTGAGGAAAAGGTGAAATATCTGGCTATCTGTGAAAAATATAAATAAATTTAAAGATAACTGCATAACAATTTGGAAAGAGATAAAGAGGGATATGGAAATCTGGGAATGACAATGGCAAAAAGATATAACCAAATTTATCTGGCAGAGGAAGAAACCAAGAATTAAATACGAATTACTAACAGATGAGGAGAGAGGAGGCTTCGCTCTGCCAGATCTAAAATTGTATTATGAGGCGTCCTGTCTCTGCTGGCTAAAGGGATAACATTGAAAAATTCAGATATTTTAGATCCGGAAGGTCATAACAGATTTGGATGGCATGCATATTTATGGTATGAGAAGACCAAAGTACATAAAGGTTTTTTACATCATGTAATAAGAAATGCAATATTTAATGTATGGGAAAAGTATAAAAACCTGTTGGAACGAAAACCCCATGGTGGCTTTCATCAATAGAAGCGATATCCCTTAAAAAGGTGAATGCAAAAGTAGAATGGGCAACTTATCGAGATTTGCTTATTGAGAGGGAACAACTGAGATTAAAAAGCATGGAAGATATAAGGCAGTTAGTCACAGATTGGTTACAATATCACCAAATAAATGATGTGTTCAAAGTAGATAAGAAAAGAGGATTTAGTACAGAATTCTCAAGGTTTGAAAAAATGATTGGAAAATGATGAAAAATTATCTTAAAATGTATAAATTGTTGCTAGAATGGCATACAAAAGATGAAGACGTCAAATCAGTAATGATAAAAATGGGCACAAGATAGAGGGCACAACATTCAATTAGAGGCGTGGGGGAAATTATGGAAGGGAGACCTAAAATTTACAGCTTGCTGTTTGCTAAAAGAAAACTATATGAAAATGATATGAAAAAAACTATATGAAAACTATATGAAAACTTCTGAAGAAGTGTGCATGCACACGAAAGCTCATACCAAGAACTAACTTAGTTGGTCTTTAAGGTGCTACTGGAAGGAATTTTTTTTGTTTTGTATATGAAAATGAGGTATAGATGGTATTTAACACCAGTGAAGTTAGCAAAGATGTACAGAACTGCTTCCAATATTTGTTGGAAATGCAAAGAAAAAGAAAGCACGTTCTACCATATGTGGTGGACATGCAAGGTAACAAAAACATTCTGGGAAATGATATATGATGAGTTGAAAAAGATGTTTAAAATAACATTTGTTAAAAACCAGAGGCTTTCTTGTTAGGCATTTCAGATACAGAAATTCCAAGGGAGCAGAAAAGACTTTTCATGTATTGCAAAGACAGCAACGAGAGTACTACTGGCCCAGAAATGGAAGGAAGACAAAGTTCCAAAACAAGAAGAGTGGTAGATGAAAATGATGGACTATGCCGAAATGGCAATGCTAACTGGGAGACTCAGAAACCAGGAGGAGAAGACGTTTAAGAAAGGATGGTAGAAATTTATAATGTATTTAAAAGAGCATTGCAAACAATTAAAAACTTTGGTAGGATTAGATTAATACTTGTAACATAAAAACACACAAGGAAAAGATGACAATATTAATAACAATTTAGATAAAATTGGATAAACTGTATGGAAAAGGGGAGGGTAATGGAAATCAGAGAGGGGTGGTGGGAAGTCAAGGATTAAGAGAATCCTATATGTAATGGTGAATGATATGCTTTGATGGAAATTTTATTTGTAAAATTCAATAAAAATATTTTTTAAAAAAGAAATAATAATAATAATAATAGTAGTAGTAGTAGTAGTAATTATAATAGGGGTCTACTGTGCAAGAAGACCACATCATCTCCATTTCCTTCTAGCTTTGTGATCTGATGGCATTTGATTGTGACAACTGATAACTTACCTTCTGTTTTACCATTATATCAATAGCCATGACAATCTTTTTTTCAGTCACTCTTCAAGTCAATATAATAAAGCAACACTAGACCCTGGTAACTTGGGGAAGCTAAAGTGAATTAGGTTGTGCATGCACGCAAGCCCATTCTTCCAAACAATAACTACAGACGTACCTGGTTCTCAAACGCCTTGGTACTTGGATGTTTTGGCTCCCGAATGCCGCAGACCCACAAATGAGTCTTGCGGTTTGCAAACATTTTTCAGAAGCCAAACGTCCAACGCGGCTTCCGATTGAGTGCAGGTTTCTGAACCGTTTCAGGAGTCAAACAGACTCCCGGAATGGATTAAGTGCAACAACCAAGGTTCGACTGTACTCCATTATTTAAGTATACATTCCAATGTCTGTGAAGAACCAGTTTACAAAATTAATTTAATGAAATTTAATAAAATAAAATCTGCTAAACTGTAGAAGAATCAAATTTTAACAGCAGTGCAAAAGCTGAAAACAGCTCCAGGACTCTGGCTCATTCGTTATAGAAATGAATTGTTGAAAGGTCTTCTTCAGAAGATGACATTAACCATTTCCTCCTCTCTTAGTCACAGTAGCTATAAAGGCATCTTTAAGGATATCTCTATCCAAGTTTCTACCTATAGAAGAGGACAACACAAAAAAGAAAACATTTTTAATCAATATTTTGCATTATTAAAAAAGCAATAATCTACACTATTGAAAGAAAGAAAGCACTTAGTACACTTAGTACAGCCAAGTTCCACTCAAACGACAGATATAGGGATACAGGGCAAGTGTCCCAGCAAGAGAGCAGCATAGCCCCATTATCTTATCTAACCCAGTGTTTCCCAACCTTGGGCCTCCAGCTGTTTTTGAACTACAATTCCCATCATCCCTGACCACTGGTCTTGCTAGCTAGGGATGATGGGAGTTGTAGTCCAAAAACAGCTGGAGGCCCAAGGTTGGGAAACACTGATCTAACCTGCTGCAAAAAAATTCTTTCCCACCTCAATACAAGGATATTATTGCAAATAGCTGAATAGGGGGATGAAACCTCTCATATTTCCTAACCCTTCATTCATATTGGGAAAGTTCATTTTGTTACCTAATCTCCCTGCTTGTAGTTGAGCAGCTATTGGGGGAAGGAAAGCAGGTAGTTAAACGAACTGCAAATGGTGCAAAAGTAGCTACGGCATGATGCTTTGTTATTTTTCTGTCCAGTGTGTTCCTTGGATCTGCCTCAGCTACAGACTCAGGCACAATCATCAACTGCACAGGTTGTATTTCTTCAACACTCTGACAGGGCAAGATAGATGTTCACCCCAAGCTTGTTTGCACTGCCTCCACCCAGGTGAGAGAAACCCTGGCACCCGGAGTTACCATACTTCAAAAGGAAGAAGTCTGCCTAAAAAATCAGTGAAGCTACTCTGCTGTGAACCAATTGCTACTGATTGAGGTCCATGATAAAAACTTACTTGTGGATAACGACAGATCCAAGTCTTTAGATAAAAAACTGTCCAGATAACTTATAAGCCGAGGAGTGCTAAACCATGATCCCCGCCAACACATTATTCGCTTCCCTCTATGTACATTTTTCTACTAAAGCTTATTTCTAGTTTTAGAACCACACTGAAGGAAAGAACAGTGTGCAAACTACAAATAGGTAGAGAACTTGTCATTCCCTGTTCATGTGTTCTTTTTGCTCTTTTAAATAGCTCTTCCCCACAGCCTGCTGGAAGACACCCCACATTTTAAAACACTCTTCTGTAGCTTGGGCCACAGAGAGAAAAATAGACATGCCAAGAAGAAACAAACAGCACTACCGAAAAGACCATAATAGCTTGATAGAAACTTGACATTATCTCAGTTTTTTAGTAGATCTTGCACAGTACTGTATCAAGAACAATTTTATGAATTATCTTTATGTTTTTGTATAATCATTTGGCTTTCTTCAGTGATTTTGTACAATAGGCCTATGAAATGTATATACTGCTCTTACCTATTACAACCAATCTATTTGTTCGTTCAGCCTCCTCCTTCCATCTTACAGTGGTTTCTTCTAGATCGTACAGCTCATGAACACCTTGGACTATCACCTGATGAGGTTTGTTTTTGATAGACACAAGTCCCTGGTTAGAAAGAATATAAATAAGTTACTGGAAAAGGAAAGTATCTATAGATTTAATTTGAGGTGTGGTGATATTATGTAGCCAACACACACACAAAAATAACATTGCCTGGTGTTCATTCTAATTACTTTGACAGATTGAGAAAAGGCTAAGCTCATTACAGTAAATACAGAAAGTATTTCTGATGCAAGTGAAAATATAATTCTATAACTATTTGAAAATATAAAATTATATGATCTATTATGATATAACATTATTGTTGTACTTTGGGTTTTTTTTTAAATTCCAATATAACTGGGGAAATGTTGTCCTCACATTAAGAATGGTGGATTTAGCACAGACCTTGGAAACTGGGGCATAGGAGGAGGTAACAAGTACGCACAAATCTTCTACTGGACAACAGTATAGAATCATAGAATTATAGAACTGGAAGGGACCACGAGGGTTATCTAGCCCAACCCTCTGTAGTGCAGGAATCTTTTGCCCAAAATGAGGCTCAAACCCACAACCCTGAGATTAAGAGCCTCATGCTCTACCGACTGAGCTAAGAAGGCCTGCTCAGGGCTGAGTGGCACTGTGGGTTGAGCTAGGGCTGAGTTAAGAAGGCCTGCTCAGTGATCATGGCATGCCCCTCTTCTACAACACTGGGTACTAGTAGAAGTCCTGGGCTGCCTTGGAGGAGCCCACAACATGGTTTCTTCCCACACCACCACTGTCCTAGATTAGAGGTAATGCTTATACAGTGGTACCTCGGGTTACATATGCTTCAGGTTACATACGTTTCAGGTTACAGACTCCGCCAACCCAGAAATAGTGCTTCAGGTTAAGAACTTTGCTTCAGGATGAGAACAGAAATCATGCTCTGGCGGCGCAGCAGCAGCAGCAGGAGGCCCCATTAGCTAAAGTGGTGCTTCAGGTTAAGAACAGTTTCAGGTTAAGTACGGACCTCGGGAACAAATTAAGTACTTAACCCGAGGTACCACTGAATAGGGAGGAGTGATATATCACAGATTTCTCCCAGAAGGTTTACAGATTCAGATGTTACCCAATAGCTGCAGGAAAGTGCCATGCTGATGGCTCCAACAGAACAAACCTAAATCTCAGTATTCAAATACTACTGATTCAACAGATACATCTGAATTGACACACACTACGGTAATTTATGCTTATGTTTGCTGTGCATGTATTCACTTTTTGTGCCCAAGCAAAAAAAAAAAAAAAAAAAAATACAAACAAAATAAACAATACTTCTGAAAACAAGTTTGGTAGGACTGAATACTGAACCTTGAGTCTTATTACTTCCATGGGGTTACCTCTCTTGTCTTTTACATTCTTCTCCCACAGAAGATCCTATAAACAGAAAGGGGCTTTTAATAATGAGGCATTCATAATGCGATACACAGGAGTGTGCATGTTCCCTTTTCTGTTCTCTGCCTAGTGCAGGGGTCTGCAACCCGCGGCTCTGGAGCCGCATGTGGCTCTTTTACACCTTTGCCGCGGCTCCGGGGCGGATACTAGCGAGGGGAGGAGGCGCATTGTGCGCCCCAACACTCCCCACTGTGGCGGGCGCTGTACTGGCTGTGACGTCGCATGGGGGCAGTGCGTGCGTTAGTCACGCACTGTCCCGACGTCACCTTCCCGCCCGCCCGCTACATTGTAAGGGGCATGTACGCTGGTCACTGCATTGAAAGGGGGCATGTACGCTGGTCAATGTTTTGAAGGGGAGTGAAGAACACACACGCAAAAAAAGGTAACTTGTTAATTTAATGTTTATTTCTATGAGGAGGAGTAATTCTGAGGGGTCAAACAAAGAAATAATTAAAAAGAGTGACAAAAAAGTTATTTTTATAATGACAAGTTTTGCGGCTCCCAGTTTTTTTTTCTTCGGAAACAGGTCCAAGTGGCTCTTTTTGTCTTAAAGGTTGCAGACCCCTGGCCTAGTGGATGAATAACAGTCATAGACTTGTAGAGTTGGAAGGGACCTCCGAGTCATCTAGTCCAACCGCCTGCAATGCAAGAATCTCAACTAAAGCATCCATGACAGAGAAATTCACAAGTGATTATGCTTCAAAAGCAAAGTATATAGCACTTACTTGAACAAACACATTTAGCTCTTCTTCAGTTGTGCTTCCTAGCACTTCAAATGTGAATGTAACAATACTCTGAAAATAGAAATGTAAAACTTGCTGTGATCAGCTCTTTAATAAGGGCAAAATGCACCTTAATTAAAAAGTTTTAATACATATTCATGGCAGTGTACAAAAACAATATGAAATAAAGCCATAAAATATATAGAACGTGTGTGTGCATGTGCGCTTTTGTAATACCTGGGAATGCTTTAAGTCTGAAAGTTCGTAACTAAACATAAGCATAGTTAGTATCAGTACATGCCCCATCCTCCTAGTGCTTTGTATCAGCTGAAATCCCCTGCCAATACTTTCCTATCATATATTGAATTTGTAGTTTATACTGAGGTAGTTATCTGAAAAAATATTTCAAGTGGCATTTCACACATTTCTGAACCACACAACAGCTTTATGCAATACAGCACCAAGCAATGGTGTTTACTTCAGTATGGCAACATTGAAGAACACTGCAGTACTAATGCAAATCCACATGCCATGATGATGTTTGTTGTGAATCCAATTCTGATCACTTATTTGCTAGTACAATATATTATTATACAGCCTTATTAAAATTGGAGATTTTTCATAAATTAGTTTCCATTTGGTCCAGATAAAATTGTGCCTTTGAAATAAATGGTATACCTGATGAAGTGTCTCTACCCCCATCATCCAGCCCGGACACTGAGGTCCAGTGCCAAGGGCCTTCTGGCAGTTGTCTCACTGCGAGAAGCCAAGTTACAGGGAAGCAGGCAGAGGACCTTCTCGGTAGTGGTGCCCGCCCTGTGGAATGCCCTCCCATCAGATGTCAAGGAAATAAAGAACTACCTTACTTTTAGAAGACATCTGAAGGCAGCCCTGTTCAGGGTAGCTTTTAATATTTTATTGTGCTTTTAATTCTGTTGGGAGCCGCCCAGAGTGGCTGGGGAAACCCAGCCAGATGGGTGGGATATAGAAATTTTTATTGTTATTGTATTATTATTGTATTATTATTATTAGGGACGTGGGTGGCACTGTGGGTTAAACCACAGAGCCTAGGACTTGCCAATCAGAAGGTCAGCGGTTCGAATCCCTGCGATGGGGTGAGCTCCCGTTGCTCGGTCCCTGCTCCTGCCAACCTAGCAGTTCGAAAGCACCTCAAAGTGCAAGTAGATAAATAGGTACCGCTCCGGCAGGAAGGTAAACGGTGTTTCCGTGCGCTGCTCTGGTTCGCCAGAAGCGGCTTAGTCATGCTGGCCACATGACCCGGAAGCTGTACGCCGGCTCCCTCGGCCAATAAAGTGAGATGAGCACCGCAACCATGGAGTCGGTCACGACAGGACTAAATGGTTAGGGGTCCCTTTACCTTTTACCATTATTATTATTATTATTATTATTATTATTATTATTTCCTTTCAATTCTCCTAATGTAAAAAATCCCATTTGGTTCTAAGGCAAAGAGGGTCACTCAATCCTCAGGAGAGCTTGATACACAGAGAGGGCTGCAATTAGGTGTGGAGAAGGACTGTGCAAATGGAGTTTTGCTTGCTCTTCTATGTATCCAGCCTTAAGACTGAAAAAACCACAAAAAATTGTAAATACATTAGCAGTAATGTCTTTAAAATGTTGCAGGTTAAAAATAAGCAATATGCTGTAAAAATATACCTGTACAGTGGTGCCCCGCAAGACGAATGCCTCGCAAGACGAAAAACCCGCTAGACGAAAGGGTTTTTCGTTTTTCGATGCGCTTCGCAAGACGAATTTCCCTATGGGCTTGCTTCGCAAGATGAAAACGTCTTGCGAGTCTTTCGATTTTGTTCGCTTCCCCCCCCTTTTTCTAAGCCGCTAATCCGCTAAGCCTTTAATAGCCACTAAGCCGCTAAACCGCTAATAGCGCTAATCGGGTTGCTTCGCAAGATGAAAAAACCGCTAGACGAAGAGACTCGCGGAACGGATTATTTTCGTCTTGCGAGGCACCACTGTACATGTGCACAGAACTACTAAGTTTTCAAGCTCTTATGTGCTTCCTCCCTTTTTACCATTCATTAGACTGACTTTAGCACGTTTCCCTGTACCCCAAGATGACTGATCAAGTTATGAGGGGTGAAAAAGAAAAGATACAAATGCATTGTTATGTACATTTTATAAATGAAATAAGATACATAAATAATGTGTAAATAGTTACAAACACTTGCCTAGCAAATCATGCTTAATGTAGAGCTGATAGATGGATATAAGATAAAATAATTACCTTATCAAGGTGTGGTTTAGGTACTTCCTCAAGCTGCAGCTTCTGCTGCAAACTTAAAATAAGTAGAGCACTGTCAGCATTATGTTAAGCAGAAATAAATACAAAGTATCTAATATTGTGAATATAAAATTCATTTAAAAAGCATTTGCAAGATATTATGATGAGCAGTCAGAGGTAAATTGGCAAGTGTAGAGTCAAGATACCACCAAAGACAAACATTTTGGCTGTGTACAGATGTTCCATTATCCTGGAGCAATGGAAACTCTGCTGTAGTGACACAGATTCTTCCACCCAGTCAATCTTTCATTGCAGGCTGAAGGCTGCTGAAGGCTGCTGGTTAAATGCAATTTTCCCCCAGCAATTTCCACCTTTGCTTTTCAGGCTACTGCATGTTAAAGTGATTGTGCATCTGACTAATTTGAGCCTGTGACCTCAATAATTAAATGGAATTCACACCTCCACCCCCTAGTCCTAATGGCTTACAGGTGAAGATGGTGACAAATAAGACTGCTTGTCTTTGAGCTCCATGGTTTTGTCTTAATCTTGAATAGTTGAAAAGTCTGTTGGCTCAGCAGTTAAGGTTAATTCCTCTAATGAAAGCTTAGCTCACTGGCCACTTGATACAGACTTGTTAGGAGCAGATATATATGCTCCCAGGCAACCTCAGCTTCCTCCATAACAAAAACTAGGCATAATCTCAATCTTGGCATAACAGAATCGACCACAACAGAGCCTGAAACTCCCTCACTGTGGGAACTTTTATGTGATCCTGTCTAAACAAACAGCAGAAGGAATCTTTAGCAGAATTGATGCATTGGAAAAGGAAGTGGGGTCACTCAGAGGAGAAGATGGTGAAATGCAAACAGGGGACACAGAAAGGGCTGAACTCCTCAATGCCTTCTTTGCCTCAGTCTTCTCCGATAAAGAAAACAATGCCCGACCTGAAGAATTTGGAGCAAATGATTCAGCAGAGGAAACACAGCCCAGAATAACTAAGGAGATAATACAAGAATACTTGGCTAGTTTAGATGTATCCAAGTCTCCAGGGCCAGATGAACTGCACCCAAGAGTATTAAAAGAACTGGCAGGTATGATCTCAGAACCACTGGCAATCATCTTTGAGAATTCCTGGAGAACAGGCGAAGTCCCGGCAGACTGGAGGAGGGCAAATGTTGTCCCTATTTTCAAAAAGGGGAAAAGAGAGGACCCAAATAATTATCGCCCAGTCAGTCTGACATCAATACCAGGGAAGATTCTGGAGCAGATCATTAAGCAAACAGTCTGTGAGCACCTAGAAAGGAATGCTGTGATCACCAATAGTCAGCATGGATTTCTGAAAAATAAGTCATGTCAGACTAACCTGATCTCGTTTTTTGACAGAATTACAACCCTGGTAGATGAAGGGAACGCAGTGGATGTAGCCTACCTTGATTTCAGCAAGGCATTCGACAAGGTGCCCCATGATATCCTTGTAAAGAAGCTGGTAAAATGCGGTCTTGACTATGCTACCACTCAGTGGATTTGTAACTGGCTGACTGACCAAACCCAAAGGGTGCTCATCAATGGTTCCTCTTCATCCTGGAGAAGAGTGACTAGTGGGGTGCCACAAGGTTCTGTCTTGGGCCCGGTCTTATTCAACATCTTTATCAATGACTTGGATGATGGACTCAAGGGCATCCTGATCAAATTTGCAGATGACACCAAACTGGGAGGGGTGGCTAACACCCCAGAGGACAGGATCACACTTCAAAACGACCTTGACAGATAAGAGAACTGGGGCCAAAACAAACAAGATGAACTTTAACAGGGAGAAATGTAAAGTATTGCACTTGGGCAAAAAAAATGAGAGGCACAAATACAAGATGGGGGACACCTGGCTTGAGAGCAGTACATGTGAAAAGGATCTAGGAGTCTTGGTTGACCACAAACTTGACATGAGCCAACAGTGTGACGCGGCAGCTAAAAAAGCCAATGAGATTCTGGGCTGCATCAATAGGAGTATAGCATCTAGATCAAGGGAAGTAATAGTGCCACTGTATTCTGCTCTGGTCAGACCTCACCCGGAGTACTGTGTCCAGTTCTGGGCACCACAGTTCAAGAGGGACACTGACAAAACACCATCAGAGCACTCCTGACATATGGTTGTCAAGCCTCTGCTTAAAGACCTCCAAAGAAGGAGACTCCACCACACTCCTTGTGAGCAAATTCCACTGTCGAACAGCTCTTACTGTCAGGAAGTTCTTCCTAATGTTTAGGTGGAATCTTCTTTCTTGTAGTTTGGATCCATTGCTCCGTGTCCGCTTTTCTGGAGCAGCAGAAAACAACCTTTCTCCCTCCTCTATATGACATCCTTTTATATATTTAAACATGGCTATCATATCACCCCTTAACCTCCTCTTTTCCAGGCTAAACATTCCCAGCTCCCTTAGCCGTTCCTCATAAGGCATCGTTTCCAGACCTTTGACCATTTTGGTTGCCCTCCTCTGGACACGTTCCAGTTTGTCAGTGTCCTTCTTGAACTGTGGTGCTCACAGACTGTTTGCTTAATGATCTGCTCCAGAATCTTCCCTGGTATTGATGTCAGACTGCCTAGCCAAGTATTCTTGTACTATCTCCTTAGTTATTCTGGGCTGTGTTTCCTCTGCTGAATCATTTGCTCCAAATTCTTCAGGTCGGGCATTGTTTTCTTTATCGGAGAAGACTGAGGCAAAGAAGGCATTGAGGAGTTCAGCCCTTTCCGTGTCCCCTGTTTGCATTTCACCATCTTCTCCTCTGAGTGACCCCACTGTTTCTTTGTTCTTCCTTTTGCTACAGACATACCCATAAAAGCCTTTTTTGTTGCTTTTAACCTCTCTAGCAAGCCTGAGTTCATTCTGTGCTTTAGCTTTTCTGACTTTGTGTCTACATGTGCTGGCTATTTGTTTGAATTCCTCTTTGGTGGTTTCCCCCCTTTTCCATTTTTTGTACACATCCTTTTTTTAATCTTAACTCAGTTAAAAGTTCTTTAGATAGCCACCCTGGCTTCTTTAGGCACCTTCTATGTTTCCGTCTCATTGGTATTGCCTGAAGTTGTGCTTTTACTATCTCCCTCTTAACAAACTCCCAGCCATCATGAACTCCCTTTCCTTTTAGTATTACTGTCCATGGGATCTCACCCAGCACTTCCCTAAGTTTTATGAAGTCGGCTTTCTTAAAGTCAAGAAATTGAGTCCTAGTATGCATGGCTGCTCCTTTCCGCTGTATAGTAAACTTCAGAAGAGCATGATCACTCACGCCTAATGTTCCTTCCACTTCTACCCCACTAACCAGGTCATCAACATTGGTTAGGACCAGATCTAAAATGGCTGTTCCTCTTGTTGCTTCTCCCACTTTCTGGACAATGAAGTTGTCTGCAAGTCCAGTGAGGAATCTGTTTGACCTTATGCTCTTGGCTGAGTTTGACATCCAACAAATATCCGGGTAATTGAAGTCCCCCATTACTACTATCTCCCTTCCTTTTGCATGCTTGGCCATCTGTTCCAGGAAGGCATCATCTATGTCCTCCGTTTGGCTTGGGGATCTATAGTAAACTCCCACAATGAGGTCTCTGTCATTCTTCTCTCCCTTAATTTTGACCCAAATGCTCTCACTTTGGCTTTGAGGTTCTAAATCTTGGATCTCTTCACAGGTATACACATCCCTGACATATAACGCCACTCCTCCTCCTTTCTTGTCTGGTCTGTTTCTCTGGAATAGATTGTATCCCTCCATTATTACATTCCAATCGTGGGACTTATCCCACCAGGTTTCAGTGATGCCTATTATGTCATATTTAGTTTGCTGTACCAAGAGCTCAAGCTCATCTTGTTTATTTCCCATGCTTTGCGCATTAGTGTACAGACATTGAAGTCCATTCATCATTCCCCCGTGTCTCTTATTTAAGGATTTTTTCCTCCCAACCCCAGTGCCACAACCCCAGAGTCGGTCACGACTGGACCTAATTGTCAGGGGTCCCTTTAATATACCATAACTGACTAGAAAGCATCCAAAAAAGATGTTGGGAAATTGGATTTTTTAAAGGCAAAATAATATTAGAATTGATGCTGTCTGAGATGTACAAGGGAAACTGTGTTTTCATGGTCAGGAACTTGGTAAAGTCTTTTTTGTTTTGTTTTGTTTGTATTATGGATGTATTTTCTGTATTCTTTTATTAACACTATTGTTAATAATGGCCCTTGGCTGGAACTGAACTGAACTGATTTTAATGTAATATTTGCAGTTGACTAATCTTTGGTGAATTTCTGTTTACAGTACAGTATTAAGTAATTAACTACATTTTCAGCTCACTCCTTCTCTAACTTGGGTACCTCTGGGTATAAAGGTAAAGGTAAAGGTACCCCTGCCCGTACGGGCCAGTCTTGCCAGACTCTAGGGTTGTGCGCTCATCTCACTCTATAGGCCGGGAGCCAGCGCTGTCCGCAGACACTTCCAGGTCACGTGGCCAGCGTGACAAGCTGCATCTGGCGAGCCAGTGCAGCACACGGAACGCCGTTTACCTTCCTGCTGGTAAGCGGTCCCTATTTATCTACTTGCACCCGGGGGTACTTTCGAACTGCTAGGTTGGCAGGCGCTGGGACCGAACGACGGGAGCGCACCCCGCTGCGGGGATTCGAACCGCCGACCATGCGATTGCCAAGTCCTAGGCGCTGAGGTTTTACCCACAGCGCCACCCGCGTCCCTACCTCTGGGTATAGAGTGGTATATAAATTCAATTAATAATAATAATACCTAAAGACCATGGGTTATATCTAATGCTAGCTGTACTCAGAGTCGACTCACTGGAGTTACTAGACATGACTAATTTAGGTTCAATTAGTTGGATATAACTGACTAATTATGGCAGTTCTGAACCTGGGTGTGTACCTGAGACTGTGCTACAAGTTGAATTCTAAATCATAACTATACATAATTCTTATGTAAAAGCTAGCAATCTGCTGATCAAGTAACAGTGTAAAATAAAATCTTACCTTTTTCCTGACAAACTATCAAAAGCATGAAGATCTAAGACATCAGAGATGTCAACTCTAAGAAAAAACAAATAAATTTACTTTTCCCCTACTGAAGTGTTTTATGGGTTGCATGCAGCCTATGGATGAGCAGAAGGCCTCTTTTATAAAAAGGCTTTCCCACTTTCCTTCTCTCCCCCGCCCCCTGCAGCCCCTGAAAAGCTTCTCTTGATGGTCAAGGGACTCTCAATAAATGTCTGGGATCTAGTGGGGAGAGGCTGTCATATTAAAAAGACAACTGCAAAACAGAGAAAGGAGTCCTATGGAGTGACCACTTCTTTTTAATTTAAAGCAAGACCTTTTTCTAAGAGAAATCACTGTAATGCACAGATAACAGCATAAGCAAATATTCTCTTTCATTTATGGCCAGCTGTGTTTGAACTATCTGCTCTCTGCAGTGCTCCAAAATCTGTATTCAATAGAAGAAAGGAAGCATGAATGGAATGTAGGGGCTGAAAAAAGCATATCACGGTTACAAGTAGTAAGGATATTTTGAATTCCTAAGGCTCAGTTCAGACATAGGTGGAAACACAGGCACCAACTCCTAGGGGCCAAGGTCCCTTGAGAGCCCACCCTAAAATATTTGAGGGGGCCAGCCCCCCAGTTAATGGGCATTGCCATTCAAATGGTGTGTGCGCACCGCAACTTGTAACTGATTATATAGGGCAGGGCTTACCTGGGCTCCCTCAATATTTTATTCAAGTTGGCACCTGTGGTAGGAAAATACAGTTTCCTGGACTGTATGAGTTCAGGAAATGAGCCGCTGTGAGCCTTGGACTTGCATGCTCCTGCTCCTCCTCTTTTGAGCTTTTGTAAAAGAGAAGTTTTTAGTTTTAAACTAGCCACAGTACCCTGTCACATCAAAACCTGGGGAACTGCAGTTTTAATGCTGGGTTGAGAACAAGCCAGGATCTTAAACTTTGATTTTAACCTGGCTTGTTCCTACGAAGCAGTTTAAATATAGTTTAAGAACTAGAAAAAAAATATTTGTTTTTTATTTAGTTTTAAAATATACAACAAAAAAATCATATTTCTGTCTCAGTTTTTAAAAAATATATTCAACAAGCAACTACATATCACTCTTAGAAAATATTCTGCTTTGGACACACAATGAAGTTATCAGATCTTAAGAATTGCTCAGCACCTCCTACCAACTTCTACTGCTGGTTCTGGAAGCTGAACTCTTTTGAAAAGTGTCATATACATTGGCCATATTAACAATACTGTTTATACAGTGTCCTGTGGGAAGAATAGCTCTGATCAATAGAAAATGTAAAATATTGGCAAGGTAATATACCCACAGAATAACTGTGCATTAAAAAAGGTGAGCTATAGTACTTTATATTTTGAGTCCCCTTTAATAGAATTTTAAAAAGTTTTTGAAGCTATTTTAACACTTTCCTCCTTCCTACCTGAACAAAAGAATTGCAAGGACGGTAATCCATATAAATTAACATGGCCATCACTACAGAGAAGAATCTTCATAGAGCAACTGTTTAGCACAGGGCAAAGCCTCCAGAATGGAGCAGATTGAAGGCAGAATTTCTAATAAGTTATATCAATGGTTCTGTTAACAGGATTAAATGTCTTGAAATGCAGTATTCAGCTGATTACCTTGCAATATATATATATATATATATGCAGGTTTTGGTGTCCTCGGGTGTCTTCCCGTGTAAAAGTTGGGGTGTCTAGGCGACGTTTCGACGAGGTCTCACTCGTCATCTTCAGGCTGGTGCTTTCGGCTTCTTGTTACTGGAACAGAGCAGGATCTCAGTGTTTGAGTTCCTATAAATACTGTTGAGGGGGTGTGGTGTATAGCCTCCAATGTTCTGGGCAGAGAGGAAGTTCCCAGGTTAGTGTGCCTTTTCTTCTTTTGTTCCTTAATTACTTGAGGGATATCTTGAGTGATTTCTTGAGTGATATCCTGAGTACCACTTAGGTGGGTCATTAGGTGTGGATTAGTTGCTAAAGCCTTCGTGTCTTGACCTCTTGAACTTTGTGAAGAGTTTTTCTGAGAAGATGGCTGTACTGCAATTAGTTGTGCTCTGGCTTGGCTTCGTGTATAGGGGCGAGCTGTGGTTTTGTGTCCTGTGCCAGCCAGATCTGTGTAGGGATTGCAGGGGGGTGCAGCATCCGGAGGTGCCACCATGGTTTGGCTACTGGATGGTGTCTGTAATTTATCTGTGGAGAGGGTCTGGGTTTGGGTCTGGTGTGGTTGATTGGTGATGGCGTTCTGTGTGCCTCTGGATCTGGTGTCGGTTTTTGTGGGGAGGGCTAATTTCCAGATGTCTGGCAGGCGGGCTGTGTCGTCACGCTTGTTCATGTTGTGAGGGTGTTTCTCTATCTCGATGGCTTCCATGATTATTCTCTTGTGGTGATGTTCCATGTTAGAGAGCAATTTGGAATCTGCAAAATTAATTTCGTGTCCTGTTTCTTTCATGTGTTGGAAAAGAGAGGAAGTTTTTTCTTCTTTTTGACGGCATTCTTGTGTTCTGCGATACGTGCATTTATTCGTCTGTTTGTTTGTCCAATGTACGTGGCTGGGCAGACTTTGCAGGGTATTTCATAGACCCCTTGGTTTTCCAACTGGATTTTATCCTTGGGGTTTCTGAGGATATTGGCTATTTTTTGGTTGGTGCAAAAGGCTGTTTTGATATTGTGTTTATGGAGGATTTTGCTAATTTTATCTGTAGTGCCCTTGATATAAGGAAGGAGGGCCATGCCATTGTTTTCTTCTGTGTCTTGGTTTTTGGGGGGTGTTTCTTTTTGCATTAGCTTCGTAACCCTGTTTTGCTGGTATCCATTGGCGATTAACACATTGGAGAGATTGTGCATGTAAGTAGCGGTTGGTGTGTGTTTTTTCCGGTAGATAGTGTGTCCTAGTGTGAGGAAGCTATCTAGTTTTCCTTCCCGTGTGGCCAAATTACAAAGGTGTCGTGACTAGATAGCTTCCTCACACATCTCAACAGCCTACACCCCAAAATACAATTCACTATGGAAATAGAAGCCAACAACCAACTTCCCTTCCTTGACGTCCTAATCTACAAAAAACCTGATGGCTCCCTAGGACACACTATCTACCGGAAAAAAACACACACCAACCGCTACTTACATGCACAATCACACCACCACCCCTGCACAAATAAACTCCGTAGCCAAGACTCTCATCTCCAGAACCAAACGCCTGGCTGACAAAGACCACTTGACAACTGAGTTACAGAATCTCTTCCAATGTGTTAATCGCCAATGGATACCAGCAAAACAGGGTTACGAAGCTAATGCAAAAAGAAACACCCCCCAAAAACCAAGACACAGAAAGAAAACAATGGCATGGCCCTCCTTCCTTATATCAAGGGCACTACAGATAAAATTAGCAAAATCCTCCATAAACACAATATCAAAACAGCCTTTTGCACCAACCAAAAAATAGCCAATATCCTCAGAAACCCCAAGGATAAAATCCAGTTGGAAAACCAAGGGGTCTATGAAATACCCTGCAAAGTCTGCCCAGCCACGTACATTGGACAAACAAACAGACGAATAAATGCACGTATCGCAGAACACAAGAATGCCGTCAAAAAAGAAGAAAAAACTTCCTCTCTTTTCCAACACATGAAAGAAACAGGACACGAAATTAATTTTGCAGATTCCAAATTGCTCTCTAACATGGAACATCACCACAAGAGAATAATCATGGAAGCCATCGAGATAGAGAAACACCCTCACAACATGAACAAGCGTGACGACACATCCCGCCTGCCAGACATCTGGAAATTAGCCCTCCCCACAAAAACCGACACCAGATCCAGAGGCACACAGAACGCCATCACCAATCAACCACACCAGACCCAAACCCAGACCCTCTCCACAGATAAATTACAGACACCATCCAGTAGCCAAACCATGGTGGCACCTCCGGATGCTGCACCCCCCTGCAATCCCTACACAGATCTGGCTGGCACAGGACACAAAACCACAGCTCGCCCCTATACACGAAGCCAAGCCAGAGCACAACTAAGTGCAGTACAGCCATCTTCTCAGAAAAACTCTTCACAAAGTTCAAGAGGTCAAGACACGAAGGCTTTAGCAACTAATCCACACCTAATGACCCACCTAAGTGGTACTCAGGATATCACTCAAGAAATCACTCAAGATATCCCTCAAGTAATTAAGGAACAAAAGAAGAAAAGGCACACTAACCTGGGAACTTCCTCTCTGCCCAGAACATTGGAGGCTATACACCACACCTCCTCAACAGTATTTATAGGAACTCAAACACTGAGATCCTGCTCTGTTCCAGTAACAAGAAGCCGAAAGCACCAGCCTGAAGATGACGAGTGAGACCTCGTCGAAACGTCGCCTAGACACCCCAACTTTTACACGGGAAGACACCCGAGGACACCAAAACCTGCATTCCTGTACCCGTGAAAATCTACGAAAGCAAATATATATATATATATATATATATATATATATATATATTGCTTGTGAACTCATGTATAAAGGTAAAGGTACCCCTGCCCGTACGGGCCAGTCTTGCCAGACTCTAGGGTTGTGCGCCCATCTCACTCAAGAGGCCGGGGGCCAGCGCTGTCCGGAGACACTTCCAGGTCACGTGGCCAGCGTGACATCGCTGCTCTGGCGAGCCAGAGCCGCACACGGAAACACCGTTTACCTTCCCGCTAGTAAGCGGTCCCTATTTATCTACTTGCACCCGGGGGTGCTTTCGAACTGCTAGGTTGGCAGGCGCTGGGACCGAACAACGGGAGCGCACCCCGCCGCGGGGATTCGAACCGCCGACCTTTCGATCGGCAAGCCCTAGGCGCTGAGGCTTTTACCCACAGCGCCACCCGCGTCCCCTGAACTCATGTATATACACCAGCAAAAATGTTTGTTGCACTGTATTTTGGTGTTGCTGTCAGGTAAAATATAGGATTGTCACACATGACCTTTGATGCCCACACAATTGCCTACCTCAGAAAATATATAAAATATATTATCTCGCTCCACTTTATACTGTGCGATTCATACAAGGAAGAGGCCTGCACTGCTATAAAGTCCATTATGCTTGCTTATGGTGCTTAGGAAAATACTTCCTAGAATGAATAGGATAGTTAATATGATACAACGAAGAAAATTTACTAGCTTTAGAAGCATTTCTAGCTTTAGAAGCTTACTCCCCCCATGACTGATAATAATGAGACACAAATTACCCTACTGAATGTTTGAAAAACTAATTTACAAAATACAAACTATTTAAGGCTGTATAAACATATATATGACAGTATCTAGTGACTGCTAATTTTCAGCCTGTTTTGCATTGAGCTACTCTTTACAGCATTTAGGATGCTGATTATGTTGGTCTGAATGTTCTTCTCTCAAAAAAATAATTTATTTGAAACTTTAACCTTATCTTTACTGGACTACATGCTTTTTATTCCTTTCCCTACCAGTGTTAGGTTTTAAAATCTGACATTATAACAAAAAATCAGCAAATATTCAGTCATTGGATTATAACAAGGAAGTTTATGTAAACTTTCAATAGGTTTCCTCATTAGTTTTCCTCTGCCCCTTTTTGGGTGGGGACGACATTTTCAATCCAAAGTAGCAAGGCTACAAAGACTTTCACTACGAAACAGCTACATAACAGCCACTTAAATTATTGGGGGAGGGGGGGAAATAATATTTTTTCATATTTCTTTCAATGTATCTACTTTCCTTTGATGTAATTCTTTAAGCATACTTATAATGGAGGGCTTGGGATCATGATTTATGAATTCCCTATGGAACTCTGAGCTGCTAGCTAACCAAGGGGCTTTTAGAGTAGGATTTTTTAATTTCTGATACCAACTCCTAATTTGCAGATAGGACTTAATTCAAATTAATATGGAGATTACAGTATTTACAAATGACCCAGTTGGACACTGTTGGAACAGAACATCTGAGTAGGCAAGCCTTTACTTTGAATACTACAAAAAGCTCTTGGAAGGCTACACCAGCCTTGCTATGGTCCTTAGTAAAGCGGAACAGACAAAATAATCTTCTTGTCTTCCACACAGTCTCCAGCTTCCAGGCAACAGGAATAGTCAGAGAAGGAAACCAAACCAAAACCAACTGGGTACTGCCTATGGGCCATATGTTGCCTTTCTTGATCAAATATACATTTCAGATCAATATGTAGCAATCACAAGAGGAAGGAAAAGTGGCAATAACTATTTCTGATTTACATTATCATTACCTGGATCTCTTAGTTTCTAAAATTTTGACAACTCCATTTATTGACCTAACATCATTGAAAAAAGAGAACAAACATAAATTTAGATTGTGACAAGAACATTTGTACCCAGCCATATATATCTTTACCTATATCTGATACTCTTCAATGCTGGGAGCGTAAGTTCTCAAGAAGTAAAGACACTAACAAAACCCCGCAAACTCCATGCACAGTTTGTGAGGATCTGGGGCAAGTCAAGGAAAAACTGGGGGTAGAGAGGTTTTCAGCCTAATGGTGTCAAACTTCAGAATCATGGCGCACTGTGGGTAAGCATGGACACATCTGTCAATTTAGTTTTCAATCCATTTCTCATTTTTCCAACCGTAAGTTCAGTTCACTCCTGTTACATTCCCCCCCCTAAAACATATGCATGAAAATTTGTATGCATTCTTCTGCACAGAGACATTTCTGCAAGTAATGTTCCCTAATATAATGTGGTTTTGTATGTTGTGCATACTTATGCATTTTGTGCATACTTTTTGGTTGCACTAAACATTTGGATAAGTTCAAATTTTGAAGGATACCTATTTTTGATTCATTTATTGGTTAGGGATGTAGAATATAGGTACAAACCATTTTTTATTCCACCCCCAACTACACGCAACTTTTTACACTCCTTAAATTGTGTCCAAATCTGTTAGAACATGCCACTGCCCCTCTTTTTATAAGGCCACAAATGCCTGTATTTCAGAATAACTTGAGTACTGATCATTTCTCCTTGAAAGACTGACACTGATCCATGTAAAACCCATCAGAATTAAGAAAGGATTATGCAGCTACTATACTAACACTTTAGTCTGCTTGATGCAAGCAAAACATCAAGCTAGCAGCAAGTAAATACAGCTGACTGCTCTCAAGAAAGAAAGCATACACTTTCCTCTTGAGTCCTAACCCATACTGTCATAGTAATCATGCAATCTGCAATTCTAGTTGCTACCAGGCATAGATAGGAAACAGGTAGGAGTCGAAGAAAAATTCACCAGCACCTATATTCTTGCTTACCTGACAGCTGTTCTCAGTTTCATCAGTGCTTCTTGAGAAACCAAATCAGTTTTATTGAGGATTATAAGATCTGCTAATGCAATCTGTCTACACAAGAAAGAGTGAACTCATGAATAGGAGGTGCAGGAGTGAACTCTTCATTGTCTATCAATACAGGATTTATCTTTTTGTCACTGTTAACAGAAATTCCATTTATAACGTATTGGCCTAAATATAAGCTGCACTTTCCCCCCAAATTCCAACCATAAAAAGTTAAATGTGTGGCTTATATTCGCGACCTTATGGCATGCAGCCTGGAGTGCAGGGCAAACAGGGCCAGGAGCGTGGCGAAGCAGCACATAGTTCCACATTCTCTCCCCCAAGGCAGGGAAGGGAGAGAACCAGGAAGGGGAAAAGGGGAAAGGCCGCTGGCAACGCAGCGCAGTCCCCCCCCCCCAAGTATGCAGCCAGGAGCAGCGAGGAATGGAACGGCTTATATTCGGGTATTTTTTTTTCTCCTCCTCCCCTCCAATTTTAAAGCTGCGGCTTATATTTGGGTGCAGCTTATATTCGGGCCAATATGTTATATCAAGACTAGGGGTGTGTTATGATGCTGCAAAACCCTTCACATAAATTGCCCAAGTAAACTTTACCAAGCTCAGTAGTAGATGGGGGTGGGCTGAAGTTGAGAAAAGGTGTCAGAAGTATTTATGGAGTTCATGACTAAAGTGAGATTTGAATCAGGGATATCCCAGTTCACACTTTTAGCCACTGTCCTATGCAGTTTTTCTCTTATTCATGTCCTTAAGAGCAATTTGTCTAAATGGCTAGCATCCATCATTTTAAAAAAAGATACAGTGAAATGCTGCTGGCAACTTGACATTAAATTGGAGTACAAATCAGAAAAAATGAATACTGGAAATGAAATTTAACAAAATAAAACTACCACAAAGAAACTGGTACAACAGGATAAATCCACAAAATGAAAACAGCTAGAAGAAGCGAGTCAGGTCTAGAAACTAAAACTCAAAATTAATAATGTCCTTGGTCAAGGCTGCCTTCCAATACTATGCTTCCCAATAAACAGTTCAGGATTCACACACATAGAAAATGGTCGTTGTAGTAATACCTAGCTGCTTCATTGATAAGGCCACTGGGTTTTTCTTCTAAGAGATGCTAAACAAAGATTTTAAAAAAAGACAGTTACAATAGGAAAATTGATTTCATTATTAACTGAATTGCTGACAGATACTGAAGGCACTTTATGCCGCAACTATTGAGGGCATCATTTAGCTCTTCTGTTCAGACAAAAATAACTGATTTAGAAGGAAAGCTTGGGTTACTTGCAACCATGAATTTACACATACAAAGTCTTAAGGACCATGTGCTTCAAAGGATGTGAACTAGCTTAAGAGACAGTATGCAAGGTGAAATGCTTTGAGGCTCATGTTGTCCAGCTGTCATAATTCAAAGACTTTTGGATCTGTCTCAATACTTCTGACTTCGAAACGTTTACAGATGGTTTTTGCACAGAAGACAAAATCCATGGGTTTGTGTGTCCACAGAAGTAATAAATTTATTAATTCAACAGTGTACGGTATTGGGACTAGATGACCCTTGGGGTCCCTTTCAACTCTACAATTCTATGATTCTATAATGTACATACTACGTCATTATGTTCATGCCTGTTTAAAAGTAATTTCTATTAAGTTCAGGGAGAGCTTCCCCCATGTAAATACGTATAGGACTGCACAGTTAACTTATTCATCTACATGATTATCCATGTTCCAGGACCATAATTGAAATAATTTTAGATTTATGCATATGCTTCAAGCTTTACATAGCAGTGAGAGTTATACTAACGTACATCATGGGCACCCAAACTGTAACAAGTGCGTTCCATCTACAGCCACTGAATAAATTTATTTACTTTTCACTAACTTTAGGTAAGGAGTAACTTATTTACAAACAGCAATGTTTCAATAAGGAAATTCAATATAAATATTTTTCTAATGTAGGCAATTTTTTCAGCACCCCTGAATGGGGAAAAAAGAGCAAACTTCTTTTAACTAGTAGAGGTTGCTGCTACTTTAAATGCTACTGAATCCTCAAAACGATTTCATTGCACAATGTCTATTTTCCTGACATCTCCAGTCAAAACTGTTATCTGACTAAGTGGTTTGTGCAATAACAGGATGACGAGAACAAGACCTCTCTTTTGACCTTTTCTCTGTAACTCCAACATTCATTTATTCTTCTGCATGAAATACTGTCAGGCTTTGTAGATTGGCAAAGAAGAGTGTTAATAGCATCGCTTTAGGTCCTCAGAGTTGTGACCTGTCACTGCAAGTTGTCCAATCATTTGCCTTTTGATTAAAACATGAATATTTCAGATTGCTGGGTGACAATCCCATTAGAGTGACAGCCCATGATATCAATTACCACATCCATTTCAATTTGGCTTGCAAGCCACAGGGTACAATTTCTCAGCTTTACATGGACTAGGCTAGATCCATGAAGCATGACACCTCTAAATTGCTGCCTATTATCCTAGTGTCATTGTTGTATTGCCTCCAGAATTCTTTAAATCACAAGCCAAGGTGGACGTCAAGCTTTGAAACGGGAGGAATTGGACAAGGGCACAAAGTTTCTACACAAAGCAAAAGTTATTTATTTGGCATATAACTGACAAAATTTAAAAGCTGCTATCACACTGACAGCATGTCAAGCTTTGTATCTGTTTATTGATTTAAGAATGCAAGATGATGCATTGAATTCCAAAGCTACTGAATGTGTTGTTGTTGTTGTTGTTTAGTCGTGTCCGACTCTTCGTGACCCCGTGGACCAGAGCACGCCAGGCACTCCTGTCTTCCACTGCCTCCCGCAGTTTGGTCAAACTCATGCTGGTAGCTTCGAGAACACTGTCCAACCATCTCGTCCTCTGTCATCCCCTTCTCCTTGTGCCCTCCATCTTTCCCAACATCAGGGTCTTTTCCAGGGAGTCTTCTCTTCTCATGAGGTGGCCAAAGTATTGGAGTCTCAGCTTCACGATCTGTCCTTCCAGTGAGCACTCAGGGCTGATTTCCTTCAGAATGGAGAGGTTGGATCTTCTTGCAGTCCATGGGACTCTCAAGAGTCTCCTCCAGCACCATAATTCAAAAGCATCAATTCTTCGGTGATCAGCCTTCTTGATGGTTCAGCTCTCACTTCCATACATCACTACAGGGAAAACCATAGCTTTAACCATACGGACCTTTGTTGGCAAGCTGATGTCTCTGCTTTTTAAGATGCTGTCTAGGTTTGTCATTGCTTTTCTCCCAAGAAGCAGGCGTCTTTTAATTTCGTGACTGCTGTCACAATCTGCAGTGATCATGGAGCCCAAGAAAGTAAAATCTCTCACTGCCTCCATTTCTTCCCCTTCTATTTGCCAGGAGGTGATGGGCCCAGTGGCCATGATCTTCGTTTTTTTGATGTTGAGTTTCAGACCATATTTTGCGCTCTGCTCTTTCACCCTCTTTAAAAGGTTCTTTAATTCCTCCTCACTTTCTGGCATCAAGGTGTCATCTGTGTATCTGATATTTCTTCCGGCAATCTTAATTCTGGCTTGGGATTCATCTAGCCCAGCGTTTTGTATGATGAATTCTGCATATAAGTTAAATAAGCAGGGAGACAATAGACAGCCTTGTCATACTTCTTTCCCAATTTTGAACCAATCAGTTGTTCCATATCCAGTTCTAACTTCTTGTCCCACATAGAGATTTCTTCTAGCTTCTTGTCCCACATAGAGATTTCTCAGGAGATAGATGAGGTGATCAGGCACTCCCATTTCTTTAAGAACTTGCCATAGTTTGCTGTGGTCGACACATTCAAAAGCTTTTGCATAGTCAATGAAGCAGAAGTAGATGTCTTTCTGGAACTCTCTAGCTTTCTCCATAATCCAGCGCATGTTTGCAATTTGGTCTCTGGTTCCTCTGCCTCTTCTAAATCCAGCTTGCACTTCTGGGAGTTCTCGGTCCACATACTGCTTGAGCCTACCTTGTAGAATTTTAAGCATAACCTTGCTAGCGTGTGAAATGAGTGCAATTGTGCGGTAGTTGGAGCATTCTTTGGCACTGCCCTTCTTTGGGATTGGGATGTAGACTTGATTGTCTCCAATCCTCTGGCCACTGCTGAGTTTTCCAAACTTGCTGGCATATTGAGTGTAGCACCTTAACAGCATCATCTTTTAAAATTTTAAATAGTTCAGCTGGAATACCATCACTTCCACTGACCTTATTATTTACAGTGCTTTCTAAGTCCCATTTGACTTCACTCTCTAGGATGTCTGGCTCAAGGTCAGCAACCACACTACCTGGGGTGTACGAGCCATCCATATCTTTCTGGTATAATTCCTTTGTGTAGTCTTGCCACCTCTTCTTGATGTCTTCTGCTTCTGTTAGGTCCTTACCACTTTTGTCCTTTATTATGGTAATCTTTGTACGAAATGTTCCTTTCATATCTCCTATTTTCTTGAACAGATCTCTGGTTCTTCCCATTCTGTTGTTTTCCTCTATTTCTTTGCACTGCTCGTTTAAGAAGGCCTTCTTGTCTCTCCTTGCTATTTTTTGGAAATCTGCATTCAATTTCCTGTATCTTTCACTATCTCCCTAGCATTTTGCTTGCCTTCTCTCCCCCGCTATTTGTAAGGCCTCGTTGGACAGCCACTTTGCTTTCTTGCATTTCCTTTTCATTGAGATGGTTTTCGTTGCTGCTTCCTGTATAATGTTACGAGCCTCCATCCATAGTTCTTCAGGCACTCTGTCCACCAAATCTACTGAATATTATACATTAATTATTTCAAAGCCTTTTTGGAGTCTTTCTTTCTTTGCTCACTAGGATAAGAATAAAATCTGTTTTTATTTTTGTGTATTCTAAAAAAAAGATGCAAGGAACAAGTACTTTACTGAGTAATGATTGCAGTCTTACTACTTTACCTGTAGTCCATACTTTGCATCAACAACAGATATGATACCTGCAAAAAGAAGTTTGTAGATAGGAATTTGAACTTGAGAAGCACAAACAGCAAAGTGAAGTCAAAGTTGCTATTCAGCTTTTCTACATAGAGATAGGAAAAACCATCAGAGATCTCTAAACCAGTGGTCAGCAACATATGGCTTGGCTTTGGCCTAGTTTTATGTAGGTGATAAGGAGTCTAAAAGAAGAGAAGGAAAAGGGAGTGGGAAACAGGATTGGGGAATCAAAGTGAATGGAGCAAAGGAAGGAAAAGGGAAGAAAAATCCTTTGCAAGTGTCTAGTTCAGACCTCCAGCAAGAATGTAGTGTCCCTCATCTATCAGCCTGTTGGAAGGGGAGGAAGAGAAGAGAGAAATGGGATGACCCCGCCCACTTTTGGTTCTGGTCCTGCCCACTGCTAGAAGGCAGCCCTGACAAAACTAACCATAAGACAATGTGACCCTCAACATAGAGGCTCCCTATCCATGCTCTAAACTATAGAACCTAGTCATTTTACCCACCTTCACGCATACTGTCTAAAATCATTAGCACACATTATGCACATTGCTATCTTGAACTCATAATGCACATACACTAGATCAGTGTTTCCCAACCTTGGGCCTCCAGCTGTTTTTGAACTACAATTCCCATCATCCTTGACCACTGGTCTTGCTAGCTAGGGATGATGGGAGTTGTAGTCCAAAAACAGCTGGAGGCCCAAGGTTGGGAAACACTGCACTAGATCATGGGTAGGCAAACTAAGGCCCAGGGGCCGGGGCCGGCCCAATCGTCTTCTAAATCCGGCCCGCAGGCGGTCTGGGAATCCGCATGTTTTTACATGAGTAGAATGTGTGCTTTTATTTAAAATGCATCTCTGGGTTATTTGTGGGGCATAGGATTTCACTCTTCTTTTTTTCAAAATATAATCCAGACCCCCACAAGGTCTGAGGGACAGTGGACCGGCCCCCTGCTGAAAAAGTTTGCTGGCCCCTGCACTAGATTAAAGAGGCTTGGGAAGAGGGAGAGACCTTTGACACCAATGTAAGCTGGGGAGGGAAGAGAGAGGGGAAGGGGAGGAACTATGTGTGAATGGATATGTGAGGGGTGAGAAGAGTGTGTGCGCATGTATAAGAAACTACAACTGTGCCCCCACCCACTGTCTGCTCTGTGCCAACACACTGCAGGGATGTATCCTCCCCCCAAAGAATGTGGCCCCTGTGGGAACAAAGTTTCCCAAACATGCACTAGAAAAACAATTGAGTAACTTGGATTTAATTTCTTACCATCAAGATAAATGTCACTTCCTAATTCAGCATCAACCCAAAACATGGAGGCAACAGCACCTATCAATACATAGCTCAGAATATATATGCATCACAAAAGGCAGGTTTTTAAAAACTGGTTGAAAAACTGTTACTTTTCTGCAATTCTTAAAGGCTAAAGAAAATCAGAAAGTTGGGGGGGGCAACCCAGTGGCTATATTTAGGCCACATCAGATTTTACTTGCCCTAAATTATTCAAAGGCACGTAGAAACATATATTTGATCTACATTACCAGTACTGAAAACCTCTGGCCAGTATCTTGGGCAGTTTTTTTGCACTTAAAACAGCACCATTGTTAAGAAGGCAACATTTTTAGCCAGCCTACCTTCAAATTGTGCATTGATAAAAACACCATGGCTTAGATATTACAATTGTCATTTCTGACTTGTAGCTGCCATCTGTATGCATGGGAGTGCTCTTTCCCCTAAATTTAAAAAAAAGTTCAGGACAATTGTCTCTTAGAAGTTATGGCTATAGATATCAATAATACATACTTTCAACCAGGCATGTAACACTATTATGGAACAAAAGTGTTTAGAAATTATGAACTGAAGAATGCAATTACTAGGTCTGAAATCACACACTACTCTTACCCATGGCTGGAGTTAACTATTATATACAGAATTAAATTCTTCTCACCAATACGATTTTATGGGAGCAACTCCAACCTACAGAAAGAACCACGGCTGCAATCCTAACCATGTCTACTCTGAAGTAACCCCCACTGAATTCAATGGAGCTTACTCTTGGGTAAGTGAAGTTAGGATTGTACTCCAGATCATCACACCTGTAAAGTTTTAAAACATATTGGATTCCCTGGAGTTAAGGGATACCCATTTTTAATAAAGAACAGTCTGAAAATTATTTAGTAAGAATCTGTAAAATTCTTTATCTTTCCTTTGTGGAAAAGTGTGAATACATGAACATTTATTACTGAACAGTAAAGAAATAACAAAACTTCTGCAGGATGCTATATTTTGAAAAATAAGAAATCAAAATTTGTATTGACGTTCAACATGCACTTATGTTACAACATGAAGGATGCAAGAAATAGACAGCAATGAAAGTATTTTTTTTCAAAAGCTCACAAATATAATTGATTCCAGGACTGTCTTAAAAAACGAAACACACAGGCATAAAAAATAACAGCTGAAGACTGCTGTCCACCCGAGGTGACAAGATGTGGTCTCCCAAGCATCACTGGGTGTCACGACTAAAATACCTGTCAGCTGTTTACAGTGATTACTCATGCAATATACAGCAAGGGCCACAGAATCTATTGATTTCTTTCTCAAATGCCTTAATAGTTTTTCAACTAAACTGAAATAGGATTTGTGTATAACAGAAACAGAATCAATGTTATTTCTTTTGAAGAAAATTATTTAACCATTACAATTATTTTGCTTTGAAATGTAGAGTGTCAGTCTCCTTAACATGAAACAATTGTATTGCAAAAAGGAATTTTATTCACCCTCCTAGCCAACAGCTCAGAGGTTTAATTAAAATGGCCCATAAAATTTAGGCAGCTTTTATTCATCACAATGACTGTTTAGGCTTTAATTTTTGCAACGACTATGTACTGCTGGACTAGTAAACAACAAATATGCAACTTCAAGAAGGGTTTAAAAAGCATATTATACTAGAGTACATTTGATTTCACTGAAGCCCCCAAGGGGTTAGAATTAAATAAGAAAGATTCCATCTAGATTCTGTATCTTGTTATAGGTCTAGACACACAGCTTTTCCCATGGAAAACAGGGCATACAGCCAAATCCTAAATATGAATTCTTAAGCAATTTTTTTTTTATCCTGGCTTTCTCAGATTAGCTTTTAGACCAAATATAATTATAGCTGTTGTGGGCTGGTCTGAGATGTTTTGTCACAGTAAGCAAAATGCTCAAAAAGGTAAAGGTAAAGGTACCCCTGCCCATACGGGCCAGTCTTGCCAGACTCTAGGGTTGTGCGCTCATCTCACTCTATAGGCCGGGAGCCAGCGCTGTCCGCAGACACTTCCGGGTCACGTGGCCAGCGTGACAAGCTGCATCTGGTGAGCCAGCGCAGCACACGGAACGCCGTTTACATTCCCGCTGGTAAGCGGTCCCTATTTATCTACTTGCACCCGGGGGTGCTTTCAAACTGCTAGGTTGGCAGGCGCTGGGACCAAACGACGGGAGCGCACCCCGCCACAGGGATTCGAACCGCCGACCATGCGATCGGCAAGTCCTAGGTGCTGAGGTTTTACCCACAGCGCCACCCGCGTCCCTCTTATGCTCAAAGCCACCCCCAAAGTCGCCACACAAGTGTCCCCTCACCTGCCCCCACGCTAATGCCAATGCAGCAGCAAGGGCGCAGCAGTGAAGGCAACAGTACTGTGGCAGCAGTGTGAGCCAAGGTGTAGCAGGGCTGGGGGGCAGATCTGCCACCCAAGGCAAATGGCTTCACCTCGCCTCGCTGACAAGCCACTCCTGGATACCATAAATGTGTGTCTGACTAGAGGATTGAGAGGAGCAAGAAGATTTTGCATTGATGTTGCTCTTTATGGTTTCAAAAAATGCTCTCTCTGTTTGTGGTTGGCTAGTGTGAGAACAGGATGCTGGACTAAATGGGTCTTTGGTCTGATCCATCAGGTTCTTGAATTGTAGGGGTTATAAGATGCACTATTGACAGAAAGGATGGTTGTTGTGGAATCACCTTTGGCTACTCTTGTTTCCTGACAATTCCATTCTTTTTCTTTTGTATCCAAGCTACATCTACATCCTGACAGACAGGCACAACGGAATACCCAATGCATTTCTGCTCATCCCATAAAGAAAAATTTCAACCCAGATTCTCACAACACAATCCTAACCACATCCTACTGAATTCAATGGGGCACTCTTAATCCATCCCCTTCCCCAAATTATATTTACCTGGATCTGCCAATCCAGTTGTCTCTAGCAAGATGTAGTCAAACTTGCCTTTCTTCTGCATTAAATTTTCAATAGCCTTCAAACCATTGTCCCTGATGAAAAAAGAAATCATTTAAAAGGAATTATCTTTATTGCTATTTATGCTACAGTACTTTCTAAATGAAACACAATACTATCCTAAAACCTATTTAGTATCCAAATTAGAAATCTACATGGTAATAAATTTTATTGTAATTCACTCATAGAACTTTGGTTATTAGGCAGTAAAAAGTGTAGCAAAGTGTAGCAAAGAAATAAAATAATAATAAAACAATAAGTTCATCAGGGCTTTTAAAAAACTTTTACGAACTGCAGTACCTCATACCCTGTAATTGGAAGCTTGTTTTAAAAATCCATCCTAATTTTTTTAAAAAAGTGCTTCCACATATCCAACCTGCAGCACATTTCTGCTATCTTGCATCTTCTTCAGTATACAGTGGTACCTCGGGTTAAGTACTTAATTCATTCCAAAGGTCCGTACTTAACCTGAAACTGTTCTTAACCTGAAGCACCACTTTAGCTAATAGAGCCTCCTGCTGCCACCGCACTGCTGGAGCACAATTTCTGTTCTCATCCTGAAGCAAAGTTCTTAACCTGAAGCACTATTTCTGAGTTAGCGGAGTCTGTAACCTGAAGCGTATGTGTCAGGGGCTCAGGAGCAGAGGCACAGGAAAGGGAGGAAATAGAGAGCGAGGGGGAGGAATCCAAAGGAAATGTTAGCGATGACAGCGGCCCGAGGTCTCTTGAGTCTTTCCAGCGAATCGGAAGATTCACAGAAAGGGGCTCCCATGGTCAGAGCAAGGGGGGTGCCTAGGGGGACACCCCAGGAAGAAGGGGCCAGAGGGGACTCAGAGAACAGCAGTTGGAAATCAGGACCAGCTTCCCCACCAGAGCGCAGTAGGGGGGAGGAGTCCCAGGTATCGGGATCAGGCGGCTCACCGCCAGCGGGAGGAGATGAGTCAGGATTGGCCACGCCTCCATCGGAGAGCGAGGAAACAGTCAAGAGGAAGGTTGGAGGCTGGGCGCGCGCGCCAAGTTCAAATGTGCAGGAGGGCGGCGCAGTTGGTAGCCCGGATAGGGAGCCAGGTCCTAAAGCCCGCAGAAAGGAGGGACAGGAGTCAGGGGGGTCAGCGTCAGCGTCAGAAGAGTCCAGAAAGGAGGAGACCCCGGGGGGCAGAAGGACCCAGAGGAGAAAGGAGAGACGGAAGAGGTGGAGTAAGGTTAGAGTCTTAAACTGGTGTACAGGGGGTGGAGACTCAGACGGAGCTTCGCCGGTCTAGCTTCTAAGACGTAGAGCTGGGCGCTGCGGCTTGGAAATGGAAACTGTACTTCAATAAAGACTTTTGTACATCACTACCGGCTAGCGTTGGTCCTCTGTGAGCTGGGACCTGGAGCCAGCTCTGACAGTATGTAACCTGAGGTACCACTGTATTCATTGGTTTCAATATGAAATCATTAAAAAAGCAACTAATTTTCAGGTTTGGTCCTACAGAGGCTAATGTTATTTATTTAAAACACAAATGAATTTGATTCATCTAGCTCAGCTTGCAAAAAATATTATTATTAAGTCTCCCTATAAGCCATTTTTCTCATATTAAAAAAGAATAGGAATAATGAGAAAATGTACACAAAATCAAAGTCCTTGATGCTTCTGAGCTTCCTGAAGGAGGCAGTGGTAAGGCCCCATCCCTTCTCGACACAGAGGTATTGAATAATGCCTGGACAAAAACGCCCCCTTTTGCATGGTGACCTCCAACAGCATCTGAATGAAGCTGTCCAGACACATTTCAATCTGGACTCAGACCCAGGTTCAGAATTAAATAGATTGGTCTCTCAAACTGATGACCTTTCTGAAGAAAGGGATGGAGGACTGTGACCCTGTTAATTCTCCTCAATCTCTCCATGGCTTTTTATGCAACTGATCCTGTATTCTCCTAGGCCAGCTTCTGTGGGCTGGGAGTTGGAAACACCATACTACAAGACCTCTGCTTTTATTCGCAAGACCAACACCAAAGAGCAGCACTGGGAGACCTTTGTTTAGTTCCCTGGCACTTGTGCTGTGGGGTCCTGCAATCCCATCTTATCTCTACAGCTTTTTAGCATTTATATGAAGCAGTTGAGATCTGCTGCCCAGCAGCTTGGAGTATAGTACCATCAGTATGCTGATAACATGCAACAAGTCAGGTGATAGACTGGTATCTGGAGGCAGCAATGGATTCATGAGGACCAATAAATGGAAGCTGAATCCTGGTAAGATGAAGAGATTGATGTTGAGTGGTTCCTCGTGTTGGGAGATGTCTGTTCTGAAGAGAGATCCTTCTTCTGATGTTTGTAACTTGTGGCTGTTGTTGGAGTCATCACTGCCACTTGGAACTTAGGTGTCTTTTGTGGCAAAGGAACACCTATGCCTATCTCTGGCTGGTTCACCAGCTTTTTCTTTACCTGAACCAAGATAGCATGGCTATAGTACTAAGTGCTCTTACAACCTCTTGCTTAGACTACTGTAAAGCTCTCAACTTGGGGCTGTCCTTGAAGGTGGTCTAAAAACTCCAGGTGGTGCAGAATGTGACCTCCAGCTTGTTGACTGGCTCCACAAAATGGGATCATGGAATAGCTCAGTCAGTAGAGCAAGAGACTCTTAATCTCAGGGTAATAGCACAGAACAGGCGCTCTTGAATAATGGCACCCCAAATGCAGAGCTCCCTCCCCACATTTGTCCTCTACTGTTTTTAGGCATCAGCTTAAGTTGCATTTGTTACTTCAGACCTATGGGAATTGATGTATGATCTCAATTGCTTTGAGGTCTTTGATCTTTGAGGTCTTTTTCTGATACTTATTTTCTTTATTGTTGGCTCTTATATTCACTGTGTTTTAAGTAGGTTGCTATGTACTGCCCTGTGAATCTTTGGGTTGAAGGCAGAACACAACTTTAATAAACAGCAATATATTATGTATTTTTTTTAACACTGGAATTCTCACCAACTGGTTCCTGCCACAGGAGAACTACTTAATAACTACAGGAGAATCATGCTGAACTATGAAGACACATGAGTTAAAAGGAAAAGGATCAATTTTAAAGTCAGTGGTTGTTGTTTTAAAAGGTGAAAGGTAAGGTAAAGGACCCCTGGACAGTTAAGTCCAGTCGAATTTGACTATGAGGTGCAACACTCATCTCCGCTTTCAGGCCGAGGGAGCCGGCATTTGTCTGCAGACAGCTTTTCCGGGTCATGTACTGGTATGCTTTCGAACTGCAAGGTTGGCAGGAGCTGGGTTTGCAAACTAATGGGAGCTCACCCCATTGTGTGGATTTGAAATGCCGACCTTGCGATCGGCAAGCTCAAGAGGCTCGGTGGTTTAGACCACAGTGCCACATGGGTCCTTTACCTTACCTTTAAAAAAACCCTTACTTTACAGAACAGCATAGACATCCATTTCTGAGTTCCAGCCATTCTTCATAGAGTTCTCCACCCTGACTTACAGCCAAGGATTTTTCCAAGGCGCTTCCTGAAAATACAAGAAAAATACTACCGTAACATTGTGTCTTACACTCAATTTTCATTCTTTCTGATAAACATGAGAGAGCAGGCACAATGATCAAAACTCCAGCAGTCACAAAGCAGAATCCAAAATGTCTTGGCTTATATTCTTCTCGGACCAAGACATTATACCTTTAGCCAAGGGTGGCCAAAAAAATCCTAGTCTAAATCCAAATCAAACTCCATTTTAATTAGGCTGAGAACCTTTCATACTTTATACCATCTTATACTTCAGTTATAACATACTAACATGAATAAGAGGTAAAAGGAAAATATAGTAAGAAAGAGGAAACTCTTCAGACAATTTGTATTGCTGAGCCTCTCCTCTAAACTAGATGAAGACCATGGATTGATGTCTGAATGAAGACTGACAAGTGAGGTGTGCACCTTTTACTAAAGAAAATGAGAATTCAGGTAGGGTTTAATTTTGTTCCACACCTCATAAAGAGCAGTCTAGATTATAATATCCTATAACAATGCCATCCCAGCTGATCAAACAAGGTACTTCATACCTTGAAAAGTCAGCTGAGAACCTTTGTGCTGGTTGAAAATACTATGTATTCAGCCTACAGGGATTAGTCTAATACCAAAGAGCACCCAAACACATACGGCTGGGTGAGCAGATGTACATGTTTCTAAGCAACAACTGTACTTCAAATAATTTAAAAGATAAAAAATGAGTTTTTTCCTCTCTCAAGGATGTAAGTGTGCAAAGTGTTTCAAGAACATTTTTATTTTTACAAGATTTAGGCTCTGATATACAAAACCTTTTTGTTTTATGCATAGTTATACATACCTTCACCAAATTCATTTAGAATAATTGCTATCCTCTTGTTGTGCTGTTCCGTCAAAATATAATTAAGAAGAGTGGTTTTTCCAGCACCTAAAAAAACAGAACAAACTTTTTATGCAAAGAAAATGCATAAATACATATATACAACTTAGAAATAAAAATATGCTTTCAAATAGAACTTTACAGGCAGTGACCAGAACATCCTGAAATGTTAATCTTAATTCCTGATCACTTCACAAACATTGCACATATTGTCTTAAGATGGACCTCGTGTTCTTAATATAAATTTATGGGACACAGCACATTTTTCAAGTTACACTAAAAACATTTCTTTCTTTGCTTCATCATGTAATTTTAACACCCAGTATGTGTGTGTGTTTTGATCACTACAAACTCATTTCCCAGTACTTATAAACAACTACACCGAACAATGGAAAACTCCTAGATTTGATATCATGGCATATCTTCAGAAACTTATGAAACCAACTTTGAAACTAGGAAATAAACTTCAATGTACTTTGGTCAAATTTCTGGGGGCTAAAAAAATGCAATTTTAATAAGTTCTTGATTCAGTTAAAGTTATAGAAATGTCTTTGAGTTAAAAATAATGATGTTTCTTAGTGGTCAAGAAGCGCACCATGACTCTACCCCCTTAAAAGATGCCAAGGCGCCATCATCACCTTGCTGTCATAGAACTCAAAAACTTATCTGTGATAGCAATTTAGCCCTGTACAGATGCTCAAATCTTGCAAAGTAGGGAATCAGCATCATGACTGATATTTGCATCTTGACTTCTGATTTACCTAGAGATTATACAATGCATGTAAGCTTCTGTGCAAATTTAGGTGATGGGCTGCTGCAAACTAATTCTCCATCTCACAAAGAGAACCAGTATAAGGCATTTCTTTGCTTCTAAATGCAGGCTTTATGCTCCAACAACTGACCTGAACATCCTTGCTCTCTAATCACATCACGTCAACAGCACAGGGATTTAATTCATAATACAATTTATTTTTTTACATTAGTTTAAATTTCTTACATGAACTCTACTATACTCTTCTCTAGTATAGAGCATATACAAGGAAAACAAGACAAGTGCAAAAATTGTTGTAATACTACTTTTAAATAAAACAAATCATAGTTCCATATAATAATAAAAATGCATTATTAAGCACCCTACAGTGACAATTTGGCATACAGTTTATTACCTAAATAGCCAGTAATAATGGTAACAGGAATCTTATATGGAATATCCTGTCCTGCATGGTCCTTTATCTGCTGTTCTCTTATTGGAATCAGCTCAGGGCAATCCTCTTCTTCCTCCACAGTAGAGCCTTCCATTTCTGAGTCACTATAACCACCTGCCAATCAAAGACAACAGTTAAAACCAATGGGGAAGGGCTCAAGAAGGGAAGCCTTTAAACGCTAGGAACCAGAGGGCTGTGAATAAGAGACCCTGAAACCCTAACTCTTCACAACCATGTGTGCTATGCCTCATTTTTGCCCCTCACATATTCCTCATTGAAGCATCATGCAGTTTCCCCCTAAATCTATATAAAAGCCAGTCTCCTACCTTGCAGCACAATAAAGCAAAACAATCCAGAATGGAGCCATTCAGATAGGAAGAGGCCAAGTTTTGCACTTGAACACAGCCTCACAGGAAGCAAGAACCTGCAGACCATGTGATCGCTGACATCAACACTGTGTGCAGTACCTACCTCCACTGAAGGCATAGCTGGGGGGGAGGGACATGCACCTGTCACCATTCTGTCTGGCTCTCTTGCAGATTTGGAATGCCTCAACAACAGTTGTTTTAAACTACTTTCTTTTGACCCCCAAGTGTTCAGAAAATTCTGTCAAAATCCTCAATCATTGAAAACTAGGAAGTTACATCAGGGAGAATCTTTCATACGGCTGAAATATTTTGCAAAATTACAAAGAACATGATCTTTTTCCATCTTATTTTAAAAAGTCTAAAGTAAAATATTTAATGAAAGTATTTTGCAAAAATATATTCTGATTATTTCTACTTTTAGTTTAACGTTTTTATTTGTTTACTTGATTGGGGGGAGGCCGCTGCCCCCCCAACCCAAAGGGCAAATATCCAGCGCTCCAGACGGCACATTCAGAGGGTGTTCTCACCAGGGGCGAAAGCTGCCCTCCATTTACTGAGAGGAGCGAGGCCTGGAGGCTGAAGAATAATGTCGTCACCCTTTTCGACTCTTCGGAGCCAGAGATACAGTAATGCCTGAGGTGAGGATTAGAAACGCCAAGCAGATTTCGAATCGGGTCCCCGAAGGCGGGGGGTCGGGTCCCTCGGCGGAATTCCTCTCTCCCTCGCGACCGCAAAGGAGATCCGGAAGCCCCGCGCAGATCTCGCGGGACCCCCCTGCGCGAGGAAACCCGCTACACTCTGCACATGCGCAGGAGATCGCGCAGAAGAGGCACCTATTGGACGGACAGCCGCCCTGCCTTCTCTCGCGCACCTGCAAGCTCCGCCCCGTCGCCTCGCCGCTTCCTACCCAGCCACGCACGCATGCGCGCCTCAGCTTCCTTCCCAGGCGAGGAACGTCGGTTCCTTCCTGCTGCCGTACAAGAGGCTGCGAAGGGCCGCGTCATTGGAGACGTCAGAGGGCATCTTGCCATGTCGGCATCGGCGTCACAGGAAGAAGGTTCGGGGAGGCAGCGGACCCCTCCTCTCACTCAAGGAATTCTGGGCCCTGTAGTTTACAGAGCTTCAGCTCCCGGCGAAACTTCACAAACCAGAATTCTATAATTGCACCTTTTTAAAAAGAAACACACACACCCTTCAGTGAATTAAAAAAACAGGATTTTAA